TTGGAGTCCTCAGCAAGCAAGCCTCCCTGCTCGCTTCAGTGCCTGGCTGCCTGCCGCCATCTTGGCTGACAGTTAATTTGCATATACTCACTGATTAGCCAATGAAAAGGGTAGCGGTCGTACGCCAATTACCATGTTTCTCTTTTATTAGTGTAGATGGGCATCTAGTTTTAAATGATAGCCTTGCTGAGTAAAGTAGTCTTGGCTGTAGGTCCTTGCTCTTCATCACTTTGAATATGTCATGCCAATCCCTTCTGACCTGAAATATTTCTATTGAGAAATCAGCTGAATGCCCTGGCCAGAAGGTAGTGGGTTCAATTGCTAGTCAGAGCACATACCCAGGTTTCAGGTTCAATCCCTGGTTAAGAAACAATCTCTCTCTCTCTCTCTCTCTCTCTCTCTCTCTCTCTCCCTCTCTCTCTCTCCCTCTAACCCTCTCTCTTCTCTCTCTAAAAAAACATAATTTTTTTAAAAAGAAATCAGCTGACAGTTTCATGGGAGCTTCCTTGTAGGTAACTATCTTTCTCTGGGTTTGAAATAGCTTCTACCAAATATGTGAACTTATGTGAGATTTGAAGGCAGAAATGAAGACAAGGCCACCTTCCCTGCCATTTTGGGCTCCTTTACCCTTGCAATCACATGATAATGTTATGCAACAGTGTAACAACATCTATTCTGCAGCTTCTGGGTGTTAAGAGACAATACATCAGTGTCAACAGTATTTCCTGACTCCAGCTTCTATTCCCTGGGACACAACAATGGTGCTATGTTCTTGAAATCAAGCATTCTAGTGGCTGTCTCAGAGGTAGTAGCCAACTAGTGGATGAGTTCTATAAGAATCTGGGAGCAAGTTCTTTAGGCCCAGCCTAGAGGCCACTCTTCCAATCCTTTCAAAGATTTTTAAACTATCTAAATTCCATATTAAATCCCTTTCTACCAAAAATGCTTAGACTGATTTCTGTTTCTTATACCAAATCCTGACAGAAACAGGAAGCCAAAGTCAGAGTCCAAGATCTTTAATCAATTCCACACAAGACTTGACTCTGGAAAAATATGGGTTATAGACAGGTGCACTTTAGGTAACAGCCGGCTAATATAGCAGAAAAAAACTCTTTATCCATCATTGTCTTGAGTCACAGATACTGGCATACTGCCCTTGATTAAGGCCAACACTAGATGTAAATACATGACTGTGGAGGAGTAGAAAGGAAGGGAGCTAGGAAGGTAACACAAAGTGTCAACTATGTATCAATTACTAACCTAGACCCTTTCACATGTTCTCATTTAATTCTTACGATAGCTCAGGAACATATGTGCAATTATCCCCAACTAACCCAACCCTGTGCATACACATTTCTGAGTATAGTACACATTTCTGAATATAGTAATGTCCATTTCCCTTGGGCTAGTGTGGTTCAATGGTTGAGCATAAACCATGAACCAGGAGGTCACGGTTCGATTCCTGGTCAGTGCACATGCCTGGGTTGCAGGCTCGATCCCCAGTAGGGGGTGTGTAGGAGGTAGCCAATCGGTGTTTCTCATCATTGATGTTTCTATCTGTCTCTCCCTCTCCCTTACTCTCTCTGAAATCAATAAAAACATTTAAAAAAAATACCTTACCTAGCATGGGGACCAAAATGTTGGGTGGGTCTAGATTCTAAGTCACTCTGAGGACCTCAGTTGCAGAAGTATGTGACCTTGAGGCAAGTGCTCTGCAATTAACATGACTTGGCTCCAGTCTCTATGTCTACTTCTTTCTGTTCTGCTATCAACTGGTAAGTTTAATGTATTGTGAATCAAACTTCCTGAAGAAATAATCTGTATCTGATCATCTTAAGCCTGGGCCACAAAAGTCAGCTTCTAGCCTATGGTTGGGCAGCATCCCTTAAATACAGGCATCTGTCCCTAGTCCAATCAAATGTGATTCAGAGGAGGGGTCCCAGGTCCTGGTAGGTACTCAGCAAGATGATGAACAAGGAAGAACAGATTTGGGCATCTCTTGAAGAACCGGAATATTTAGAAACACTGATCCCACATTTCCATAGGTAAGAGGAGGAAGGTGTTCCCCTTCAGTTTGTTGCATGTCAATTGTTTATGTTAATTGCCTGGTCCTTTTAGACATTTGAGTTTAATAAATCCTAAATTCCTTCCAGCTCTAATAATCTTAATTCTGAGATTCTCTACTCTTCTGGATTCTTTTACGCTGAAAACATTGTGGATTGACATGGGCCTCATTGAACAGATAATTTGGAAACAAGCTGGGAATGCATTTCATCTATCTACTGATTTGATTTTCTAAATAGGGAATCTACATTTCCACACTACAAAGCAATTATTCTCCTCTATTAGCACTGCTGTAATTCTTAATGTGCCATGTATTATCATCATCCTGTCAAAATGAAAATCTTACAGAAAGCTTGCAAGGGCCTTATCAAATCAAGTGGAAGTGATTAAGGACAATAGAAAATTAGAACAATTATATATACACTATTAAATAATGCAACAGATGAGAATCCAACTAGTCTTCAGATTTTCATAAGTAAGGTTTGTAATTTGATATATTGTTAATTCAATAGCAAATTATCAATTCATTAAATGATCAAACTATTTATCAAAACTGGGAATGACAAAACAATCAGAGGCTACAATAATTATACTCTAAGTCTGTTCTTCATGTAAAATTCAAATGCACCCAGCAGAAAACAATTTTGTACTTAATGTCATTCATCTAATTAGCATATTTCTGCTCCAGTGTGAGATATTTATTTGAACATGAGATGCAACAGATATGGAAGCCACAAAAATCTCATTTATATAATCATAACAAGCATGTTATCATGGCTGTCAAAATTAATTAAACCTAGAGGAACAAGGGTTAGAAAACCTATTTGAAGAAATAATGTCAGAAAACTTCCCTGAGGTGGGGAAGAAAAAAGTCACACAAGCACAGAAAGTCACAAACAAGATGAACTCAAAAACACCCACACCAAGACAATCATAATTACCATGGCAAATGTTCAGGACAAAGAGAGAATCTTAAAGGCTGCAAGAGAGAAACAGAAAGTTACATACAAGGGATCTCCCATTAGATTATCAAATGATTTCTCAACAGAAACACATCAGGCCAGAAAAGAATGGACGGAAATTTACAAAGTGATGCAAAGCAAAGGACTGAACCCAAGAATACTCTATCCAGCAAGGCTATCATTCAAAATTGAAGGGGAAATAAGAAGCTTCACAGACAAAAAAAGGCTAAGGGAGTTTATCACCACCAAGCCAGCAATGCAAGAAATGCTAAAGGGACTGGTGTAAAAAGAAGAAATAAAAAGCTCAGAAAGAAAACAGCCACAAAAAATAGAAATGGCTACAAACAAGTACCTTTCAATAATAACTTTAAATGTAAACGGACTAAATGCTCCAACCAAAAGACATCGAGTGGCTGAATGGATATAAAACAAGACCCATATATTTGCTGTCTACAAGAGACCCACCTCAGAATAAGGGACTTGTATAGACTGAAAGTGAAGGGATGGAAAAATATCTTTAGGGAAATTGAAATGAAAAAAAAGCTGGGGTAGCAATACTTATATCAGACAAAATACATCTCAAAGTGAAGGCCATAACCAGAGATAAGGAAGGCCACTTCATAATACTAAAGGGATCAATACAACAAGAAGATATAACCCTGGTAAACATATATGCACCCAATGCAGGAGCACCCAAATTCATAAAAAAACTCCTGGAAGATATCAAAGGAGAGATCGACAACAATACAATCATAGTAGGGGACTTTAATACACCACTGACATCACTGGATAAGTCCTCTAGACAAACAATGAGCAAAGAAATAGCAATCCTAAATGACTCACTAGATCAGATGGACTTAATAGACATCTTCAGAACACTTCACCCCAAAGCCATGCA